AAAATATTCAGAGATTGTCTTTGGTTTGTCCCTGTAGGATCAGAATCTGGTGGACTGCCAACAACACACCTCCCCTTTCTGCAGCCTCCGGGGGACCCATAAAGGCAGATCAGGTGACTCCCCTTCCATCCAGTTCAAGCCTAGGAGTGAACTGGTGTCCCCCTCGTACAGGGAGGTCGGGGGAGGTACCCAGTTTGGCCTGGGGTGGCAGAGGATTCTCCTTCCCCATCCTGAGGCCCCCTCTGGCCCAGGACTTGGGGCTGCTCCAGTCTATCCCACAGGACCATAAAGTTGCTAACATTATGTCCTGGGATGCAGGAGAAGGAGACTAAAGGGGAACAGGAGACAGACCCTCCAGTTCAGGCTTTTACCTATACCTCCTCTAGACCCCAGAAATTCCTTCCTGGCTTGACTCCCTAGAGAAGCTTGCCTAAAGGCTGAGTAGAAACAGGGGCCCATACCCAGCTGGCTTAGTAAAAAAAAAAAAAAAAAAAAAATGGGGGTCAAATCTATTTGAAATTTGACATTCAACCATCCTCTCTCTGGCCATATTTCAAAAGGCATCTTTATGAAAACTCTTAGGTTACCTCTATTCTGGCAGGACAAACACCCACAGTGCACCTCCTGTATTGGATGCTTAGAAGAGAATATGATGACATCTCATAAAGCAACAAACAGTCATTTAAAGACCCAAAATAGACATATGCCCTGGTGTTATAATTACAAGGTCTCTAAGCTTTTTACTTAGGAGATAAGCTTAATGCATCAATTCAAGGTTCATTTCAGGTCGCCTGTTTCAACTCCACTTAAAAAGCTCTCTATGAGACCATTCGGTATTTTTCCTTCTCATTTCCCCTCCCTCCTCCAAATAGAAAGAGAGGAGCTGGATGAACATACAAGTGGAGGTTTGGGAGAGTGAGAGCATTAACAAGCTAAACTGCTTTCAGTATCCAGGTTCTTAAAATCAAGCAATTTGGAAGAGGAATGGGAGGTTAGAAATCTTCCAGTCTTGGCCCATGGTCATGGATTTCAGCTGTTTGCACCCAGCCTGGGGGTCGAACCCTGCCTGAAGAACAGGCCTGCCAGGAGAGAGAGAGGGGGGTTTGGGGGAGCCAGCTGTTGGCCCCTTTAGGGTAAGCTGGGTAGGATTGATCTTGTGGGGACTCAGGCCTTCACCTTGGAAGCCCTTCTTGGCCCCACCAAACCTCCTGCAAGGACGAATGGGTAATTGGATTTTTAAAATGTGTGCTTCTAAGTAGGTTATAATTAAATTTTATATGGTGACTCAAAGGTTATCTTTGGGAGAGAAAATTGCACCGAGGATTCGCCATCTCCCTGAGCGCTCTCTTTTGTACAGCTCCCCACTCCACTAGCGCCTGGTGGTGGGGTCTTGTTGTTGTTTGTTTGTTTTGAGAACTGTTTCATCCTCCCTCCGTTTCTCCTCCCCCAAACATCTGCCTGTCCTCCCTCCCCAGCTCTGCTCTGCCACTCCCCCCCACCCCACAGCCCACAAGCCTTCCTTACCTCCAGCATCCCTGGCTTGCTTTCTTCTCTCTTC